CCCAGCCCCAGCCTCCAGGTCCCCTGATATTCCCGTTGCCTCCAGTATGGTGCCTGGCACACAATAGGCCCTTAAGGAGAAATGAGCTAATGAGTCTCCTCCTTCACAGATACTCACTGCCACCCTGAACAAGCTCACACAGGTGATGGTTGCCAGGGCTTGTTGAGGCTGAGCAGAGGGGCTGGCCTGTCTGGGGGGCCCTCGTGGGAAGGCAGTGGGCACAGGGGGACTCCTATCTCACTGTCCCCATGGCCCAGACACTATTTGGTTATCTTCAAGGGCTAAAGCAATTTACCCAGGCCTAGGGGGTATAACACAAGGGCCTCTCTAGCCCCCGCAGAGGTAAACTGAGGCCCTGGGGTCCAGGGACCTACCAGCCGATGTGTGTGTGTTTTCCAGGGAGGTGTCTACCAGAACCCCTGGGATCTCAAGCCTCCTCCCTTTTGCTGAGCCTCCGTCCAGCAGCCACCTGGGAGCAAACAACACTAAGGACTCCAGGAAGCCACCAGGCTGCCCGAAGGCATGGAGGGGAGGATTCTCTCCTCCGGCAAATTTACCTCCTGAGACAACTTCCTGGCTGAGCCTGGGGAGACATTTCCTTCTAGACAAGAGGGACCCCACAAGTCTGTGATGTTCCATGGGGCTCCGGGACATGGAATTTGGGGCTGGCTCAGGCAGAGGGTATGCCCCAAGGGGGCCAAGGAAAGGTTTGAGGCAGGACAGCAGGCAGGCTGTCCAGGGAGCTCTGACCCAGGTGGCCGGTGCCTGCTGCTCACTGCCTGTCCCCTTACCTCTCTTGAAGGCCCACCGCTTCAGCCACAGCTTGGAGAGGGATGGCCAGGAGTGGTTGAGTGCCGAGTTAGCCATGGGGGCTGCTTGTGGAGAGTGTGAGTGATCAGGAGGGGATGGAGCAGGAACTCAGCTGGGAATCCTTGCCAGGATGGGGCTGCCAGCGAGAGGGGCGGGGACTGTCCATAAGGGGCTGCCAGATGCATCAGCTGATGGGAGTTTGGGCTTGGGACAGGGAGGCTGGAGTTTCTAGCTGGGGGGCCCAGGTACTCCAGCCTAGGAGGAGGCCAAGCCCTTAGCACAATCCCACTCCCTAGCACTATGGGCCTCTTACCCTGACTAGACAAGACATTTCAGGAGGAACTGCAGATTGCAGTGTGAAGACTGGTGATGTTGGTTGGGGGCGGGGCTCAGGAAACAAGTATAGATTGGGTCCTGAGGTGAGCCTGGCTGTGCGTGAATGTCTGAGTGTTTGTGTGTGTGTGCGCGCGTGCCATCATGTCAGTGTTCGATAGTGCATTTGTGTGTTGGAACATAGAGTGTGTGCTTCCAGGTCTGTGAGGGTTTGAGTGCAAGGCTTGAGTGTTAACTTGTCTATATGTATATGAGCATCTTAAGTGGGTTTTTTCCCACCAGTTTTTTTGATATAATTGGCATACAGCACTGTACAAGTTAAGGTGTACCAGCACTTGACTTACATATGAGTATATTGTGAAATGACTACAGTAAGTTTAGTTAGCATCCACCATCTCATATAGAACAGAAAAAGAAAAAACTGTGGTTTTGTTTTGTTTTGTTGCGATGAGAACTCTTAAGATTTACTCTCTTAGAAACTTTGAAACATACCATACAGCAGTGTTAACTATAGCCATTGTGCTGTACATTATGTCTTGAGGACTTATTCATCTTATAACTAAAAGTTTGTACCTTTTGACCACTTTCACCCATTTCTCCTACCCCGTCCTCAACCCCAGCAAACACAAGTCTGATCTCTTTTTCTATGAGTATTTTTTAAAATTTAGATTCCACATATAATTGAGATCATATACAGTATTTGTCTTTCTCTGACTTATTTCACTTAGTATAATACCCTTTAGGTCCATCCATGTTGTTGCAAATGACAAGATTTCTTTATTTTTTAGGGCTAAGTAATATTATCTAGGTGATTTTTCAAATCTCTGAGATCCTCTTGCTGTGTGTGTGTGTGTGTGTGTGTGTGTGTGTGTGTGTGTAGGGGGGCGGTGTGTGTGTCTGAATGCCCACCAGTATCTGTGGGGTTGGATATACATGACTCATTTAGGATTTGGGGAGATATGCCTCTGATATCTGTAAGCGAGATTTGGTGTCTGCCTGAGTTTCTGCATGTCTGAGTGTGTCTTTGTGTATCCCTGTGAGGTGTGTGTCTAAGTGCGTGCCAGTCAGCACTTGTCCTTGCAAGTGCTGCCCCCTGGTGGTGGAAGCTTCCTGACTTGCATTTTCACTCGTGTCTGAAAAATTCCTAGCTGTCACTTTTCTCTGGCCACCCCTCTCCCTTTCCAGAGAATTATCCACACTCTGTCTATACCTACTCACACCTACTCGACTCTGCAGCCCACTGCAGTCTAATTTCCATCCCCTCCAGTCTTCTTGCTCTCTCTGGGGCTAAATCCAACAGGCACTTTTCAGACTCACCTCTTGACCACTCCCTTCTGGAAATCCATTCCTCCCATGATGCCACATGCTCCTCCTTCCTCTGCCCACTACTTCTCACTCTCCCTTCCTGACTTGGTTCATCATCCTTTTTTCTACCTGGCCTTTAAACTCCCAGGGCTCTGTCCTTGGTCACTTCCTGTTCTCCCCACTGGCCCTGGTGACCCCATCTGCACCTCCCTTATGACTTCAGCTATCATATTATGAGTAGGTAGCCCCAAATCTTTCATTCACAGAAAGACATAAAAGCACACACTCTATGCACCAACACCCAACACACTCTCCAGCACTTGTGGACAATGGCAGACACACACACACAAATAGTCAGATACATACACACTTGATTATGTACACACACACACACACACACACACACACACACACACACAGACACAATTCTACACAACCTGCCAGACACATACATAGAAACCCAGCGAACAGCTCATGGAGATATGAGAAATTACATCCTCTGCGGTGCTCCAAGTTTGAATTTCTCATTCCTCATTACATACCTTCCCTGGACAGGCTATAAATGCCTCTTGGATCCTCCGGCCCGCATGGTGGAGGGCAGTGAGAAGCCAGGAGGGATCGCCATCAAACCAATGGCAGCAAAAGCAGAGAGACCCGGGAACCCAGGCCCAAGGAAACACGAGGTTAGAGCAGTGTTAGCAATGGAGGCTTTTGAAAATCTTACTTTTAAAAAACGACAGGGATATCTAGTTCTAACAATGGCAGGCTAGCTTATTGTAGATTTACCCTCCCACCAAGAACAGCTTCAAAAGACATGAAACAGGAAGAAATAAAACCCTCACGCTCCGTTGGAAAGCATTGGTGGCCAGGGTTTGTGGGGTTAGGACCCCGGAAGGAAGGGTAACCTAGCGAGGTGAGGTAGACAAAATGTAATGTTTTTTTCTCACAAGCAAGTTGTTGATATGAATGTAGTTCTTAAGTGACTGTGAAACCAGACCAGAAAGAGGTCCAAGGAGGTGGCTGCAATCTCTGTCTAACCCTCTTTCAAGAACCTGCCCTGCATACTTGATTGAGACTGAGACCCACCATTAGGCTCACATTTTAGGAGTGGCCCAGAAGGCTTCTAAGGATGCACACAGGTCCCATGGGTGGGGACTGCTCAAGCAAGCAAGGCTTTGGGACAAGGACAGACTACGAGGGGGCAGGCAAGGCTGACCATGTTTGCTAAGCTCCTACTGCATGCTGGGCCCTGTGCTATGATCTTACATGCAAAGTCTGTGACATTCTAACGGAGAAGCAAAGGGAAGGCCAGAGTGGTGAAGTCACTTGTCCATGGCTGCACAGGGGCAAGGGAGCCGGGATTTGAACCTGCAACTGGCTGACACAGCCACCCTATCATCTATAACAAGGATATTGAGTGCTGGCTGGTGTCCCGCACTGTGTCATGGGCGGGGAGCCCGGGGGCTGTGGAGAATGGCCTAGAGCAGGCACACTGACCTGTTTGCGGTTGACATTCCACTGGTGCTTCAAGGTCCAGTGAAAAGCCTACCTCTTCCAGGAAGTCCTCCCAGAGGGGCTTGTGGCGGTGGTGAGGGGGCTGATAGCAGGGGGCAGCCTCCCTCAGCCTTACTTGGCTGTCATGCTCTTTTCTCAGAGCTGGAGGTGACCAGGTCCACAGAATCAGCTCCCTGAGTGTGGCGTTTGAGGCACTCCCTGATGTGTCCCCAGCCTCACTCCCCAGCTCCATCCTCCCTGGCCCCAGCCATCTACTCCAAATCCATCCATTCCTGGCTGCGTCTGGGACACCTTCTCAGATCCCAGCTGCTTGAAACCCATGTGGCCCTGGGGGCTGGGAGGAAGCAGAGGCTTGGGTGTGCCATGCACAAAACCACAACCTTCCTTCCCTACCGCGCCCCACCCCAGGCAGCGGGGCTTTGAGACTCCCTGAGGTGGGCACAGTGGGAGCCAGGGGCCCTTCCCCATGGGGAGGGCCCCAACTGGAGGGCTGCCCAGTGGAGGGGCCTCCTCCTTGGCAGATTGGGGCAAAGCCATTCTCAGGCTGGCTCTCAAGCATCAGCCTTAAGCAGAAGTGTTTGTTTTGAAAGTCAGACACCCCAGCCCCAACTTTCAGATTCTGCTTCTGGGAGGTCCATTGAAGGCCCCCTCCCCCAAATTTCTAGTTTAAGAAGCAAAGCAAACCTTGTGACTATACCACAGGGAGCCTAAGTCCCCTCTCCCCCCATTTATCCTCTGTCCCTGTCCCCCAGACTTTGGCAACAAGCGGCTCCATCCTCCTGTCCTACCTTGTGGTCTGTCATGGGCCCCAGCCTGCTGGGGAGGCCTCTTAGGGCCACAGACTTTTGCAGGATAAACACACGGGTCACACCCCCCCACCCTCCACCCCCACCACCACTTGAAAGCAGGCTGAGCAGAAGGTGCAGAGAAACTGGAAGGTCTGTCTGTCCACTGCCCCTCAGGGCCCCTCAGACCTCAGTGCTGCTCTGTCCCTGTTGGTCTATATGTCCCTCCCCCACCCTCCTGTGATCACTCACCAGATGGAGGCTTGTTCTCGCTTCTGCAGGTACCCAGCTTGGCTACCAGCTCCTGCAGCCCCCACAACCCATGGCCAGGGCTTCGAGCTAGGGAGCATCAGTGGGCCAGAGTCCAGGGTAACCGCAGGGTGACCCAACTCAACCCCAACTTTCTCTTCCTCAACTGCCCGCCCGCCTGCCTGGCGCCTCCCTTTCCAGCTGCGGGTTGAGGCAGGGGTGCAAGTGCAGCACAGGCCTGGGGTCTAGAAACAGGGTACCTTCCTCCACTGCTCAGCCCTGTGCGTGCAGGTGTCCTGAGGAGGTGGGTGAGGAGCAAGGGGGAGCCTCAGCATCCTCGCCCCCACCCCAACAGCTTCCTGTGGAACAAACTGTCAAAGAGGAACGGGGCCTCACATGGGTACACAGGCAGAGACACATGGGGACACACAAGTCACGTGTATCCACAGATACACAGGTACTCAGACACACACAGATGAACATGAAGTGGTATATGGGGACACATATGGTTACATGGGGTACACGGAAGCACCTGGGTCCCCATGGGGTGCTGGTAAATGATTAATAACCACCTCCCTAACCTGAAAAAAAAAAAAGAAGGCCTGACGTGTAGCACCTGCCGATTCCCACAGTGTAAATACTCTCATTATGGCTGATTTCATCTGCCAACCTGATGTCATGGAGGATGGAGTCAGGAAGAAATGCTTAGACTTGGCTCCAGCACGTCACTGGAGCAGGTACTCAGGCATGTGTGTTCATGCACACAGGCTTCTCGCGCACAGGTATGTGGGCACCTGTGGATCCAGGGCAACGTGGGGGTGTGCAGACAGAGCGGCTTACCTGCACAGACAGCTGGGTGCTACAAGGCACACCTAGGCTCCTTTATACTCAGAGACAAGTGGGTGCATTGGCACACACAGCATTATCCTGGAGACGTGTGGAAACACTCACAGGCACACGGCAGCACACACCTGGACTTCGAGGCCAGAGGGAGCTCGCGAGGAGACACAGACAGGCACACCTAGCTCGTCCTAGTGCACAGAGCTTAGTAAATGTTCAGGGATTTTGCGAGTCGGTTGTTAAATGCAGCCGTCATAAAAATTTAATTATATAAATTGACAGTTAAATAAATTATGTTAAGAACAAAAATAATAACCACTTAAACCCATCACCAGGTGCTTAATACCATTGAACCGTATACACAAAAATCGTTGAAGTGGTAAATTTTATGTCATGTATGTTTTACCCCAATAAAGTAAAAAGAAAATCCATCAGTTCCTAATTATTTTGCTACGTTTTTCTCTTATTCATGCTCTTGAGGTTATTTATGCCTACTGAACCTGTTTGGTGGAAATAGTATATAAAGGCGTTATGTACTATTCTCTATCGATATGGAATATAGCTATACAATAAGCCCTCAGTTAACATTGCCCATAGGTTCTGCAATTTTAAGCAAAACGACATATCACAAAACTGCTTTTACCACAGGCTAATTGGTACAAACAGAGTTAAGTTCTACAGCATCGTTATAAAGAAACACCAAACAAAACGTTATTTGAGGACCTCGTCTATCTATCTATCTATCTATCTATCTATCTATCTATCTATCTATCTATCTATCTATTCTATCATCTATCTACTTATCAGTTATCTATTATCTATCTATCTATCTATCATCAACGATCTAGCTCGCTATCATCTATCTGTCTAATTATATACTATACTATATCTTCCCAGTTCCATGTTCGGTGACAGCACACTAGTACTTTGAAATGACCACGGTGAGGGTATTTACACCATGGAGATTGGCAAATGCTATAAATCAGCACCCTCCAGTGGAGAGCTGGAGAGCTGGTTGTTAGACATTTACCAGCATACCACTGCACAAACGGCACACATGTGCTCTTGTGACACTACAGGCAGTCACGCACATGGATGAGGGAGCCCACAGAGGCACACACAGCACACTGGAGACATATGCAGGCACAACAGTCTCGTGGACCCCTACAAACATGAAGCCACAGGGGCACACCGGAGAGGAACATACAAGGAGACACAAATACAGACAGATGTGCATGAGCATGTACCATTGTGGGGATACACAGAATAAACATGAAGACACACACATACATGAACACCCCTGGACATATGTGTGTCCACACAATGACTCAAATACATACATGCACACAGAGACACACATACACGCACAAGGGCAGATGCAGGGCACCTAGGAGAACACATGTGGAGAAACTGACACACCAGTTGCCATGTCACCCCCACCTCCAAAGCCACAAACACGCAGACCCAGAGGTTCCTCAAACTCTCAATTACCCAGAATCCACACTTGTCCTCAGGGATGTACCCAGGACCCAAGGAGACACAGATGTGCACATTCTGTACCCAGCTGATTATTTAATGCAACACACATTGAGTGCCTACTGTATGCTGGGCACTTTTGTAGGTGTGGGATAATAGTGGACAGGACGGACATACCTCTTGCTCTAGAGGAGCTCGTGGGCTCGTGGGGGAGGCAAACCGTGAACCAGGAAACAGGCCCATGAGGTAATTTCAGATGGTGTTAATTGCTGTGACAGGAAGTAAACATGTGATGTGACAGAAACTGGGGGTAGGGTTGGTGGTAGCTGATTGAGCCAGGAGGGTCAGGGAAGGCCATGGGAGCCGAGACCCGAATGCCCAGGAGGAGCCAGGCATGTAAATGAAGACCTGGGGAAAGGCTTTCGGGGGCAAGAACTGCTAAGGCAGAGGCTGGGAGGCAGGACTGAGCAAAACAAGAGGCTGGAGGGGGCCAGTCATAGGAGGTGAGGCTGGTAGGGCTCAGACCCACAGGGCCTTGGGGAAAGAATGGTGAAGTGTGGTTGATGGGTACCACTGGAGGGGTTTAAGCAGAAAAGGAAGGGGCAGAGGTGGGGACAAGATGGCTGAGGGCGGGGGGCAGAAGCCCCCAGAGACCCACACAGATGCCATCACCGGACGGTGCTGGGAAGGAAGGTGGGTTCAGGGTCCCATGTCCAGGAAGGGCTGCTCTGTCTCCCTCTCTCTGTCTTCCTCTGTCTCACTTCCTCTTTATCTCTCAATTTCTCCTTTTCTCTCTGTCTCTCATCTTCTTTTCTCCTTTCCAGGCTGCCCCTGCTCAGAACTGAAACTCTCTCAGGCCTCTCCTGACTCCGCTGCCTGCTCCTGCCTCCCTGTCCTGCTCCCCCCTCTTAGGGTCCAGTCACTGCAGATGGTGGTCAACACTGTGCGTGTGTTCCTCAGCCTCTTCACCCTGGCCTCTGTGCCCATTGCCCTATTGTCCCCCTGCTGGGGTCCCCACTGGCCTCCTGGACGCTGACCCCTCACCTGTGTACACCCCTTCCCCTCCACTACCCTGTCTTTCTTGCAGGCAGGACCCCTCTACCTGCACTCCTCTTTCCTGCATTCCCTGCTGGTAAAATATACATAATGTAAGATTTACCATTCTAACAATTTTTTTAAGTGTTCAGCTCAGTGGCATCAAGTGTACTCACATTATTGTGCAACCATCCCCACTGTCCATCTCCAGGACTTCCTCATCTTCCCAAACTGACACTCTGTCCCCATTAAACACTCACTCCCTCCCCTCCCCCAGCCCCTGGCACCACCACCATCTACTTCCTGTCTCTATGAATCTGACTCTAGGGACCTCCTATGAGTGCAATCACACAGTATCTGTCCTTTTGTGACTGGTTTATTTCACTGAGAATAACGTCCTCAAGGTTCATCCATGGTGCAGTGTGTGTTAGACTTTTAAGTCTGAGTATAATCTTCCATTGTCTGGATGGACCACACAGTGTTTATCCATTCATTTATCCAGGGGCATTTGGGTGGTTTCCACCTTTTGGCCATTGTGAATAATACTGCTGTGAGCATGAGTGTACAAAGATCTATTGGAGTCCCTGATTTCAATTCTTTTATTTATATACTGCTGGAGAGTTTTAAGCCTGGATATGTGAACCAATCCTGTTTTTAGCTTTAGGAGGTGGCTTTTTCTTCAGAATGTAGTTGCATTACAGTGATGGCCACTAGAGGTCAGTGCTTTCCCGGGACTTCTCTGGCCACAGTTCAAAAAAAACCAGGCCAAGGATGGAAAACCTGACTGCCTGGGGGCCAAGTCATGGTCTGCGTTAGTGAGGGAAATGGATGTGGGACACAGGTGGCCATTAGGTCTGCCTTTCCTCCTCCCACTTTTGATAGAGGTGTGGTTGAGTGAAATATTTCTGTGCTGCAGTTAAAAAAAAAATTTCCAGATGAGCTAAAGATAAAATGCAAAACACCTCACCAAAACCCAATAAAAATTGTTGAAGAAATTTATAAGGCTATTTTTACAACTAAGGGTTGAAAACCTTAAAAAACAAAACAAAACAAAAAAACAAAGACAGGAAACCATGAATGAAAAGACAGAAATAACTAATTATATATAAACAGAAATTTTAGGAAAATAATATTATAAACAAAGCCAATAAATAAAGATCAATTCTTTGTCTGAGAAGAATTAGTACCTTCATATATAAAGAGTTTCTACACACTGATAAGAAAAAAGACAAACAAATAAATAGAAAATTGAGAAAGGACACGAACTGGCACATCTCAGAACCTAAAAAATGTTTACGTTGTGTTTATTTTACTAGCAAGGAAAGCAGGAAAGGGTAGTGAAGCAGAGAGGCCCTCCCTGGAGGTGAGACAGGGTAATGGAGGGGAAGGGAAGGCCAGGTGTACACGGAGCGAAAGAACATATGAAAATACGGTCCCAGGAGCCCAGAGAGTGTGAATTTCAGTAACAGTGAGCTGTCAATTTACACCCAAGAGAGTGGCAACAACAACGAAAAGACTGACAACGTGTATTTGATTATCATCTTATTGTTGTTTAAATTGTAGTAGAAATCAGAAAATGAGTGAAATTGTACAAGTTTCATTTGTCCATGATTTCCAATAGTTTCTAAAACTGAACAAAAGTTTTCAAGCAGTTGTCATAAAATACGTAAAAAATAAGTGCTAAAAAACCCTAAAAAGGTGATAATACCTACTGCTGGCAGAGATGCAGAGAAAAGGGTACTGGAGCATATAGTCATATGATTAGAAACACTTCCTCTAACGTGTGTAGACCGTAAACGATCACAGCTGAGGCTGCCCCTTAACAGCCTCTGCTTTATATCATCTTATTTCAGAAGTAAAACTTACTCTCTAGTATTTGTTGACCATTTTCCATCCCATTTCATGTAAGACCCAAGGAGAAAGATCTTCATTAGGGCCCATAGGCCTCCCCCTGCTTTCAATGTTAAAA